GAGACACACGAACAACGGTAGGAAAAAAAAACCTCTGTCTTATATCTTTACTTAGCACTAAGCTAATATAACTAAAATATCTAGTAATATTAATATTTCAAGAGTTCTATAAAAACTGAAAACAGCAAAACAAAACTATGAGAACTTGAGTACTTTCTTGGGTGTTGGAGAGAATGTTAAAAAATCAAGGATTCCCGAGAAGAAGAAGATGGAATGAAAAACTGAATCTCACGTTAAACTGAAAATAAACCAGCTTTTAAATAGGCTTCACAAGATAATATTATCTAAAAAGATAACTAACCAATCTTATCTAATCTAATTTAAATGATAACAATTTAAAACAAATAAATAACTTAAACTTCATAAATTATAGAGATAATTGCTAAATAATAGGGTCTAATTTCCAACAATCCCTCCCTTAAACTAAAAGTCTTCAGACTTTAGTTTAAAGAAATCCGGATAACACCATATCTGCAAATATGCAATCTGGAATCTACAGACCCTCCATCAAACTGAATTCTGCCTGCTGCAAACACCAAGTAACTATCTCAGTTTTGAAAAAACTGCTACTTTGAGAGGTTTTGTGAATATATCAGCCACTTGATCTTCTATTCTAAAATAAATCAACTCAATTGTTCTATCTTGTACCAAGTTGCGCAAGAAATGATACCTCACATGTATATGCTTGCTTCTCCCATGCAAAACTGGATTTCTAGAAAGCTTGATGGCTGAACTGTTATCACAATAAATTGAAGTGGCCTCATGTTGATTCAGCTCAAGTTCTTCCATAATTCTTCTTAACCAAATAGCTTGACAAGCACAAGAAGTTGCTACCACATACTCCACTTCTGTTGTGGACAAAGTCACAATGGGCTGTTTCTTTGAAGACCATGAAATTGCAGCAGATCCCAACATAAAAACAAACCCAAAAGTGCTTTTTTTGTCATCCAGATCTCCAGCATAATCACTGTCTATAAAGCCTGCGAGATCTATCTGGTCACCCTTAGAATAGTCCAAAATCTGCAGTTCCACATAAATACCTGAGAATTCTTCTAATAGTCTGCAAGTGCAACTCCTTTGGATGCTCCATATATCTGCTAATCAGACTTACACCATTCATTATATTTGGTCTTGTTGTTGTCAGATACATCAGACTTCCAACAATCTGCTTATACAATTTATTGTCCATAGATCTGTCTCCTGGATCTTTTACGAGCTTTACACCTTTATCAACTGGTGTAGTGACAGAATTGCAGTTCTTCATTTGAAATCTATCCAGAACTTCCTGCACATATTTTTTCTGACAAACAAAAATTTCAAAATTTGACTGTACTACTTCCAGACTAAGAAAATAATGCAACAAACCCAGATCTGTCATATCAAATTCAAGCTTCATGGACTGCTTGAACTTTTCCAACATGCCAAAATCATTCCAAATATAAATTAAATCATCAACATATAAGCATACTATAATCAATTTACCTCCATCTCTAAATTTGATGTAAAGTGTATGCTCATAAGGGCACTTTTGAAAACCTTCCTTCAAAAAATAAGCATCAATTCGACTATACCAAGCTCTAGGTGCTTGTTTTAGTCCATATAATGCTTTCTTTAATCTGTAAACCTTATGCTTATAACCAGATCTCGCATAACTAGGAGGTTGATCAATAAATACCTGTTCTTGCAGATTTCCACGCAATAAGGCAGATTTCACATCAAGCTGGTAGATCAGCAATGAGTTCTGTGCTGCCAATGCAATCACCAATCTGATGGTATCCATCCTTGCAACTGGAGCAAAAACTTCTTGATAATTAATGCCAAACTCTTGCTTGTAACCCTTTGCCACCAAGCGAGTTTTGAATTTGTCAACCGCCCCATTCTCTTTGAGCTCTGTCTTGTAGATCCACTTAACACCAATTGTTTTGTGTCCTTCTAAATGATCTGTCAACTCCCAAGTCTAGTTCCTTTCAATAGAACCAATTTCTTCTGCCATGGCTTTTTGTCACTTTTCTTCTTTAACAACTTCTTCATATGTCAATGGATCACAATCTACAAATAAAGCAAAATGATTAACTAGAACATCATCTTGAGGGAGATCTGTTACCTTATAATCTTCCAACCATGCTGGTCTTCTCTTTTTGCGTTGAGGTCTGGAACTAGTTCCAAATTCCAGTTCTAATGTTGTTGGTAGACTTCCTCCAGTATTGATCTCTACTTCTGTAGGTAGACTTTCTTCAGCTGTTTGTCTTGAAACCTCAAGATCTGTTGAAGTTTGATCTTTTGAGTGCTGCATAGTTAGATCTTCTCCATTTTCAAAATCTATAGGAATCTATTGTCCAGATTTTTCTATCTAAGACCAAGTGCTTACTTCATCAAACACCACATCATGGCTAATGATGAGCTTCTTGGTTAAAGGATTGTATAATCTGTAAGCTTTGGACTGATCACTAACACTAAGGAAAATACAATTTCCCCTTTGTCATCAAGCTTACTCCTTTTCTAATCTAGTACATGTGTATATGCTATGCACCCAAAAATTCTGAAGTAATCAATAGCAGGTCTACGTCCACTCCAAGCCTCTTCTGGCGTCAAGTCTAGAAGTGGAGATGTGGGACTTCTGTTCAAGATATGAACACTCCAATTAATAGCTTCTGGCTAAAACTCCTTAGGCAAGCCACTCCTTGACATCAGACTTCGCACCATATTCATGATTGTGCGATTCCTCCTCTCACATACACCATTCTACTGAGGTGTATAGGCTGTTGTAAGTTGCCTTTTAATGCCATTGGACTAACAAAAATCTGCAAATTCCTTTGAATTAAACTCACCGCCACAATCTGTACGCAGAACCTTTACAGATCTGCCAACCTCATTCTCAGCCAAGACTTTGAAATTTTTAAAGGCTGCTAAGGCTTCTGACTTGGTTTGTAAAAAA